AAAGAGGAGAAAACAAAGCAAAGAAAAAGGAGAGGAAGCAGAGAAGATGATGAGAGGAAGCAGAGAAGAGGAGGAGGAGAGGAAGAAGAAAAGAGAAAAAAGAAGGGGAGGAGGACGAGAGGAGGAAGAGGGTTCTGCTGGATCAAAAAAGTTTTATTTAGCAAAAAAAACCCAACCCATTATTTAGCCCAGCTTCCTTTCCATTTCCTGCAACAACCAATCAGATGCCTCTACAAAGCCTACAGAAAAGGTATAAACCAGCTTACCAACCTACTCACGTTCTCTGCCCCATCAGTATCAATCAATTGCAATCAATTTGCAGAAGAGTACTGCTATGCAGGAAGAATAGCACAGTTGCTAGGAGTAAATTTATACACTAAGTTGTACACATTTAATAAATAACTAAATAGACCCCATAAGAGGAGGCCACCTGGATCTAAACATCCAACTGTACAGCTGCTTCCAGATGATACACAGGTGCCTTTGAAAGGTGTCAGCATGTAGTCTAGAGGCAATAATGATGTCTTTTTTGGGCTACGGGCCAGCTACTGGTATTTAGTTGCCAGCTCCCTCAAATTATTAAAATCTGCAGGGGGAACCACAGAGAGGGTCAAGGTGACTACACAACTAAGTGTTCTTTATATGTGTGGAACATATTGTATCCATTTGAGGCAGTGTTTCTCAATCTTTCAGATGTGTGGACTTCAACTCCCAGAATTCCCCAACCAACCAGAGTTGAGAAACTGTATCTAGTGTGTGGTATGTTGAAAGGCTGTTTTAAACCATTGTTTGCAAGCCATCTCACTTCCCAAGTTTAAGCCAAGTATAACTGTATCAAAATAAAAATTTAGCAAAAGATTTTACGGGCAACCTCAGAAGCTCCACTATTTTTTCCACGAGGAGAAATCCACCTGTGCTTTGCCTGTTTCATTCCCATATTTTTTTTAAAAAAAAGCATTGCATGCTTTCATTTATCTCTCCAATATCCTCCTGAAATCATCTCAATTATTCTTCAGCACGCACAATTTATCCTTGATCCAAGCTTAGTAACTGAGTCATCCAGACAAAGATAAATCTGATGAACATGGGGAATTAAGTATGTGTTCTCTTCAGGAAAACTGGCGGAGCCTCCCTCACTCCTTCCTTCCTGCCCTCCCCCGCCATCAGGTATCCTAAGAGCCAGGAGGAGAGGAGATGAATGATATGTGTGAAGGCTTGGGAAGAATTGGAGGAGTTTGGGCAGCATTTGAGGTCCAAGTGTTTGTGGACTTCTCAGCTGGCTTTGAAACAAGAAACTCAACTCAGGTGCAGGGCAACCGTAGGATCCAAGTCTCTTGGTTGGAGGCCCAAATCTACTTCTGACACAGAATTGGATTCTTAGGGTGTCTACTCAGGTTTCTGGGAAGAGGAACGTGACAGGAGCTCTGAGCTTCAAGTTGGAAGGACGTCCAAGAAGGCCACCAAGAGAAAACCAAGAAAGCAAGCACCTGGCAAAGGAGTAGGAGCTTTACTTAGGGCAGGGGTAGGGAAACCTGGCTCTTTTATCACTTATGGACTTCAACTCCCAGAATTCCTGAGGGAGCCATAAAAGGTTCCCCATCCCTGGCCTACTGGTTTTTCAGTTGTGGGGGAAATCAATTTTTGACTTGAATGGGACTGTTTAATATACA